GTTAGGGCTGGGTCCTTATCCTGTGACCTCATCCCTGTTCCAGGTCCATTTCTGGTGAACTTGGGGGGCAGTCTGGCCTCCCTCTTCACTGTAGCCTCCTCCCACGCTGCGCCTCAGAGGGGCGCGGCACACCGGGGGAGCCGAGAGCTCCTGGAGGTCCAGGACCGCCCATCTGGGCTGTTCAGAGGCCCTTGCCCACATAGCAGGTGGGGTGTCAGTTGTCGTTTTGGCCACATCTGCCTGCGATTAAAATGCACCCCCTCCCCTGCCCTCCAAAAGCACACACCCTTCCTTCGATGCAGCAAGTCAGCTTCTCAGATTTATCTGTCCGGTGTCTTTGGCCTTGGGCACAAAGAAGTGTGTTCAGGGATGTTCACTGCAGCACCGTGTGCGTGACAGATGGAACGCGACTAAATGCCCGCCAGTGGGGACTGCCCATCCCCACGGGGGGCCCGCATGGTGCTGTCAGGAGAGCGTGGCCTCTGTCTCAGCCTCATGGAGACCAGCGCCAGTCACGTTGTGCCGTGAAAAGAGCAGGGCAGAGGAACGTGTGCGTGCAGCGCTATCATCGTGTGAAAGAGCAGCTTTGTTTTTGTAAACGTGCAGAATATCTCCTGGAGGAGCCCCAGAGGCCGGGCGATACCGCGATCTCCGGAGAGCAGGCCTGGGCGTGGGCCGGAGGGATGTAATCTCCATGCCCTTCCTGTGTCTTTGGAATGTTCTGCCACAGCAGACGTCACATTTTACAAAGCAAATAAAAAACCCCCAGACAGACCCAAGTCAAACAAGCGTTCAGGGCCGGGGTGACCCTGGCCTGGGTGGAGATGCTGCGAGGCCTTGGGCTGCCCTGGTCGTGGGTGGGGCCTCCTGCGCCGGGCTCACCTCGGCCTGGACTCGGCTGACGCTGTGTCCCTTTCAGGTGAACCATCTGAAGAGACGGGTCAGCGGGGCGGAGGATGCTCCCGGCACCGACAACGGCGAGGCCTGCGCCTCCGTCAAGAGGCACAAGTCCCTTTTCCAGTGCGCGAAATGCAGCTTTGCCACAGACTCGGGGATCGAGTTTCAGAGCCACATACCTCAGCACCAGGCGGACAGCTCCACGGCCCAGTGTCCCTTCTGTGGCTTGTGCTACACCTCCAGCAGCTCCCTCAGCCGCCACCTCTTCATCGTCCACAAGGTGAGAGACCAGGAGGACGAGGAGGAGGCGGCCGAGGCGGCAGAGGAGGCAGCAGAGCCGGAAGAAGGCTCTGGGGAGGAGGTATCCGTGGAGACCAGGGAAAACGGACTGGAAGAATGTACTGGCGAGCCTTTGTCAGGTGACCCAGAGGCCAGGAGGTCACCGGGCCCGGCCCCTGAGGAGGACGTTGTCCGAGACGCTCAGAGTCAACCGCTGGCCTCTCAGGACCAGGACAGCCACGCACCGTCCCCTCAGGTGTGACCGGAGGTCGGGTGGTGCTGTGGGTGCTGCACCTGCCGTGTGGACAGTGGAAAATAGAAGGCTCTGCCCGGTGTGCGTGGCAAGCTGTGCCCTGGAGCCGTGCCTGCCCTGAGCTGCGGGGAGTTGGGTGTGCCCCGGCCCCAGGAGCTGTGGGGTCGCCCGGGACCCTCACAGATCTGAATTCTGTTATTTATGGCTTTGTGCTGCTTCTCAGTCCCCAACTCCTGTCTGTATCCCTCCAGCCCCAGTGCTGTCCACTCCGCTTGAAACCCTTGGCGGCTGTGCTCTTCCGGGTGGCTCCCCACTGCTGCCTTCAGCCAGGGGACTCCTCCGAGCTCTCTGGGCGGACAGAGCCTGAGAAGGGGGTTTGAGGGGGGCTGGCGCAGTTCCTGTTGGGGAGCTCTGCCCAGCCTGGCCTGACAAAGGCCTCGGCCACCTTGCCTGTCCTTCCTACCTTCTCTGGTTCTTTCCCCCAGAGTTGTCCCGGAGAACTGGCTGTCCCGCTGGCTCTCTGCGTGAGCGGGAGAAACTTCTGCAGCACCCCTGGCTGGGGCCCGGGGAGCAGCAGTGCGGCCAGGCAGGCAGGCAGGCGGGCAGGCGCCGAGGGCAGACCCTTCAGAAGGAGTGTGCGCCTCGTCCGCCCTGCCTCTCCAGACCAGGGGGCTTGGGGCCCACAGACGTTGGGGTATTTGTATTCTTGCTCCTGTGCCATTAGAGAGGCTGCTGCCCCAGGCAGGCCAGCCCCTCCTCCTCCTGGCTACACTCATGTTGCTCAGACTATATTTCAAATAAAAATATTCTTCTTACCATGCAGGTGGGCTCTTGTATTCCTCTTCAGGTGAGCCTGGCCCCACCCGGCTCCCCCCGAGGGTCTTCCCAGACGCCCCCCATGTCCCATTGCTGCAGGAGAGCAGTGTCCCTCCTGTCCACCGCGTCCTCTAGACTCTGGAGCTGTGGTTAGGACACTGGGAGCCTGGGACTTCCTGACCCTGTAGAGCAGTGGTTCTCAACCTGTGGGTCACGACCCCTTTGGCGGTCGAACGACCCTTTCACAGGGGTCGCCTAAGACCATCCTGCATATCAGATATTTACATGACGATTCATCACAGTAACAACATTACAGTTATGAAGTAGCAATGAAAATAATTTTATGGTTGGGTCACAACATGAGAAACTGTATTTAAAGGGCCAGAAGGTTGAGAACCACTGCTCTAGAGACCTTCTGAAGGGGTGAGGGAGGGTCTTAATGCCGGTCAAGAGTCACCTTCAGGGTCTCCCCTGGGCTAATGGCATTGGCTCTAGGGCCAATTGAAATTTTCTGGGCACCTCCATCTCTCCTCCAAATGGATTTTCAACCCAAGAGAACCCTTTGCTGGAGGGAGGAATTCTGTCATGTCCTTGCATTGTCCAAGGGGCCTGGGATTGCCACTGCCACAGGGAACTTGGCTATGACAGACTTGGAATTAGGTATTTGAGGCTGGGCTGCCTTTTCACTCACTGATGGCAGAGTTAGGTCCCGACCCAGCACAAGGGACAGGCGGTGTGGGGGGTGTCCTCTGACCTCTGACCCTCTGACCCTCTGACCTTCTGATGCCCGACAGGATCTAGCACAGCAAAGGGAAGTGAGTGCTGGCTGCGTTCTTAGAGAGGATCGTTCAAGGGAGGTATTGCATATCAAGTATACATTACTAAGTTAGATAAACACGCTCGACCTTTTCACAGTTGAAAACAGAAATCATTTTCTTCCGCTGTCAAATGCCACATCTTCAGTGGAAATGCTAATGGCGCTGGGAAGGGTTGGTGCTTGCCTCAGTTTCAGAGAGACTCCGCAGTTTTAGTGATTGCTATCACCAGCTCTCGACAAAGCCCCTCGCTGCACCGGCCCCACCCCTTCAAAACAGAGGGAGTCGTTCCCATCCAACTCGCTTCTCCGGCTTCTGTGAGATGATGGGTGTGAGAGCATTTTTATGAAACACTATAAAAGTGAGGGATTCCTTAAAAAAAAATATTTGTATTGATTTCAAAGAGGGATAGAAATAGAAACATCAAGGATGAGCATCATTGATCGGCTGCCTCCTGCACGCCCTCCACTGGGGACCGAGCCCACAATCTGGGCATGTGCCCTGACCTGGATTCGAACCGTGATTCATATAGGTCGACGCTCAACCACTGAGCCACACCAGCCCGGCAAAAGTGAGGGATTCTTACTGGGACTTCAGAGCACCTCGCCTGCCATTCACACTTGGATGCCAACGGCCAGTTATGACCAATCTGGGACACACCTCTCCCTTATTTAGTAATCCTGATGATAAGAGCACGTTAAGCCCTGCTCCCGTGCCCAGCATGTTGTTAAATACTCTCTAGTGAGCCTCATAGTCCGCACGATGAGCCCACAATCTGGGCATGTGCCCTGACCTGGATTCGAACCGTGATTCATATAGGTCGACGCTCAACCACTGAGCCACACCAGCCCGGCAAAAGTGAGGGATTCTTACTGGGACTTCAGAGCACCTCGCCTGCCATTCACACTTGGATGCCAGCGGCCAGTTATGACCAACCTGGGACACACCTCTCCCTTATTTAGTAATCCTGATGATAAGAGCACGTTAAGCCCTGCTCCCGTGCCCAGCATGTTGCTAAATACTTTCTAGTGAGCCTCATAGTCCTCACGATGATGGATCGATGGATCTCGCAGTTATGCTTCACTTCACAGAGGAGAAAACGGGCGCAGAGACGTTCAACGAGCTGCCGGGCCACCTGTACGCCAGGGTGCTGAGTCAGGCTTGTCTGGTTTCTTGAGTCCCTGGTGTCAGCCACTGTGCTGTCTTCTTGACCTGCTGCTTTGGCCGGAGGCCAGCTTGTCGGGTTTGCAGACATCCACAGCCTAGCCCTTGCAGGGAGCCTGGTTCCCTCAGGGTCCCATACCTTTTGATCTTTTCTTCTTCAAGGTGTTTTTAATGGCCGGGCTATCATTTTTATCAGAAAAGGCTTGCCGTCAGCAGCACTTATCTGCACATTAGCTGGAGTGCTCTCCTGATGAAGTTAAACAGATAAAATCCCCGCCCTCATAGAAACGACAATTTAACACATGCCGACAATTTAACACATGCCGAGGCTTGACAAATGACTAGTATTTATTTTCCAACTGCTTTATCTCTGTGAAACGCTATGCGGAGTGACTATAAAGCTTGTTGAGTGTGTAGAGAGAACTGTTCCCTTAACTTATGTAAACAGTCTGGGTTTTGAAAACTTAACAACACGTGTGGCTCAGCGAGTCCGACACACTTTGCCTTCCCGAAACCGGAGGACCCTCCCCCGTCCCCTCTTGCCCTTTCACCGCTGTGTATTCAGCACTGAGCACACCTTATTTTACTCGTTTTAAAAATGTTTGTGTGTTTTGAAAAATTAATACATATCCATGGTAAGACATTCAAACAATACAAAAGAGTATACAGTGGGAAAAAAGTAAGCTTCTCATTGGAGGCCAGCTTTCAGTTCCCTACTCCCTCTCCAGAGTTCATTGCTGTTATCTCTATCTTGTGTATCCTTTCTGAGCAATTCGATGAATTTACAACTTTATAAATATGTATATTTATATATCTATTTTTAATACAAATGGTAGCATTCTACACGAAGTGTTCTGAAGCTTGCTTTTTTCAGTTATATAATGGAGATTGTTCCACATCCATCCTGTGGGTCAGTCTAATATTTTAAAAGTCCCTAGCACAGTTCCTTGCATTCAGTAGTGGCTCAAAGAGTGTTTGAGTAAGTGAATGAATGAATGAATGAATGAAAAAAATCAGATTTTCTCAGGGTCTCATCTGAGCAAGACAGGATCTTCTAGATTCTAGAACATTCCCTCTCTAGCCTCCCCTCCCTCCCCCCTCCCCCGTCTTCTCTAAATGAATCAGGTCATGTTGACCTTTTCTATCATCTGACAGCAGCCTTAGGAACTGGGGGTCACGGGCCCCAGGTCCCAAGTATGGGATTTCTTTGAGGTCCTTATTTAAAATTGCTTTTTCCTTTGGGAAATGATATAGAATTATTAGAAGAAGTAAAAAACAACCATGCACATTTATAATCCCATCTCACCTTTGCAGTCGTTTTTATTTTGTATATCACCTTTCAATCCTTGTTCAGTTAATAGCTAAATTTAAGGTATAATTATGCTAATGTCAGTGGTTAACAGAACATTTCTACAATGACAAACATTTTTTTTTACATTCATCCTCTTATTTAGCCTCATGAGAATCCTCTGAGACAAATGCTGCTTTTATTCTTTTGGAGGTTCAGAGTGGTTGAGTGATTTCCCTAAAGCCACAGAGCGAGGAAAGGGGCAGAGCTGGGATTAACTCAGGTCTGAATGAATTCCATTTACTGCACTGCCCTGGATTTTGTACCCTGCTTTTTTACACTTAACATTACATCTGGACATTTCCATGTTTCTCCATAGTCCTACAATGACAAACATTATATTTTATTGATTTTTTAAAAAAAATCTATTTTATTGATTTTTTACAGAGAGAAAGGAAGAGGGAGAAACATCGATGAGATAGAAACATCAATCAGCTGCCTCCTGCACGCCCCCCACTGGTGATGTGCCTGCAACCAAGGTACATGCCCTTGACCAGAATCGAACCTGGGACCCTTCAGTCTGCAGGCTGACGCTCTATCTACTGCGCCAAACCAGTTAGGGCTCTCCATAGTCTTTTAATCACCATATTCAATAATTTTCATAATTTTCAGATCAACATAATTTACCCACTTCCAGTCCCACTTCATCATGGCAGGGAATGGAGCTGAGCATATAACTTTTTCTGCAGAAGTATTTCCTCGATATTTATCCCTATTTCTCTTTTTTAAAATTAATCAACTTTTAAAGTACATTTTTATTGATTTCAGAGAGGAAAGGAGAGGGAGAGAGAAGCATCAATGATTAGAGAGAATCATTGATTGACTGCCTCCTGCATGCCTCCCACTGGGGATCAAACCCACAACCCAGGCATGTGCCCTTGACCGCACTCGAACTCAGGACCCTTCAGCCTGCAGGCTAACACTCTATCCACTGAGCCAAACCAGCTAGGGCTATTTATTTTTTCTTCTTTTTTTGTGTGGTGGTTATATATATTCCCTTTTGGTTTTCATATTCCTATTTCTCTTAAATAAACTCACTGGCAGTGTGATGGAATGATGAAATCAGAAGCTAGGTTCCAGTCTGGGCTCTGTAACTAAGTCATTTGATCTCTCTTGGCCTCAGTTCTTGCATCTGTCAAATGGGGAGGGGGGGTGAAATTTTTGGGAACCTAGAGTCTGGCTAGATTTTATCTTCTTGTATATGTTTATTGCAAAATAGGGGACATCGCAAAGGCAAGAACTCTCACTGAATTTCTTTTGTTGTCTTATTTATTGGCCTAGATATATCACCAAATGGAAAAGATCCCTCCTACTCTGCCCCTCCCCCCAAAGCAGTATCACTTTTAATTTGCACTTATTTATATTTCAATTTGCATTAGATGTGTGCTTCTTCAGATAGAGGTTGAGCTCTTTTATGAACACCTACTTCTTTTGGCTTTTCTAAGCCTTTCCAAGTTTGAACTATTTATGTGATAATTCCCAAACATCTTCAAATCCTTCTGTTACCCAGGTCTCTATTTAGTAGGGAGCTAGGTCCAGATCAAGCATGTCAAACTCACGCCCTGCGGGCCACATGCCTCCTTTATCTGGCCCGTGTTAGCCTTTGAGTTTGACATGCTTGGTCCAGATGATTTTTTTAAAAAAATATATTTTATCGATTTTTTACAGAGAGGAAGGGA